GAACCCTCAGGTTCTAACTCTGTAAACATGCACAACATAAATCACATAGAATAATGCAGTGCAACACATAACACATATATAGCATACAAGCATTGTATCACATAACTCTAGTTACCTACTCAAGGTAAAGTATAGTGAGAAGACTCACCTCGTGTATCTCGATAACTCGCAAATCCTTGGAATCACTCGTGCTCGATCCCCCGCACTATAATCTTCCTATAATACAATATATCTCTAATTAACACTTTTACAACTAAGGTTGACTAACCCTATCAAGTCAACATTGGTCAACTCTGGTCAACGGTCAACTTTGACCGGACTCGACGAGTGCATCAAAGCGACTCGGTGAGTCCATACGCTTTCACTGACTCCTCGGATCCTTCTTGCACGTCGAGTACTTTCCTAACTTGACAAGTTCCACCAGGCCTGAATCGCAGGGCAACCACGACTCAACTCGTCGAGTCTCAAGAACAACTCGGCAAGTTCCGGCTTGACTCAACCCCATATTGACTCTTCCCAACTCACTGGGTTATTCCCCAACCCGACGAGTCCACTCGCTGAACATATTATGTGAAACCCCAACCCTACTCGCCGAGTCCCAAGAACAACTCGGCGAGTTCATGCCATGCATACACTTTTATTAACCTTCTGAAGTCAGATATGCTTTCCCAAACCATAGATCTGGCCTTCCTAAGCATAAATGTCATGTAAAGTTCGAAACTTGATGCTTGTATAACCCCCACAAGGCATCAAAAGGTGATTTGGTCCCAAAAATAACCACCTAGGTCCAATGACTCCATAATAACCCAAAAAGCTCCAATGGTTAAGGTCTCTGGACTTCTTTGAGTCCAGATCCAAGGCACAAACCCGAAGAGGGACCATTTGCTTCACATAATCACTCTCCAAAGGGGTTATAAAACCCTAAATCTAAAGAGCAACCCTATAACTGAAAGAGATTCGAACCCTTACCTCAAAATGAAGCCTCTGGACTCTGGATCTAATGTAATCTCACCTCCTCCTTGCTCTTGCCACCTTCCTCTTGCTAAACAAAGAATACAAAGGCCCAAAAGTGACTTCCTCTCTCCCAAAACGAATTAGATCTCTTAGGGTTCTCTCAAGGGACTGGTAGCCGCAATGGGAGGCTATAAGTGCCCTTAAATAGGCTCCAAACCCGGGGAATTAGGGTTTCATTAATGAACGTGGACTCGCCGAGTCCACTCCTTGGACTCGCCAAGTCCAGATGCGAACCTTGTCCAAAATCATGATCCTACTCGGCGAGTTTGAGCTCCAACTCGCCGAGTCTTCTCACAAAATACCAAAAATGAAGGAATGAATAATACCTGGGAATCCGGGATGTTACATTCCATTTGCAAGATATCATATGGACACAAGACATGGATACAAATCAATCTAATAGTCCAAGATTTTGTTTCTTGATTTTCAATTTATGATGAAAATTTTAAACTATGACATTAACACATCATTTTAGGATAGGATGATCATTAACACATAGTTGTAAAACCTGATTTCCAAGATGGTTTTATCTCAAAATTTTAACAGTTTTAGTGCAAAATAGAAAAATAATTATAAGCAACAATTTTTAAACAAAATGTGTTGTGTAGGTAATTGTGATAAATAAAAGTTAGATCTCATACAAAGACTGACTTACTTCGGTGTGAAAAGTAGACCTTGAAGTGTTTGTGTCATTCCCCGTAATGAATATAATTGAAAAATGGTTAAGAAGTAATAAAATGAATTTTTTTTTAGTATTAGAGATAGGCTTGTTCCCAAGCATTTATGCAACTCAACATAAGTGATATGATTGAAAATCCTTGAATGATCAGTGCAATCAACTTTCAGGTGATCATGGGATAGATAAAAACATAACTCAGGATTGGATGCTACCCTTGCAAAATTTATGTGACCATGCAAAAAATCCCATGACTCCAATTTGAGTAATAGATGGGTGGCTCACAGTCTTAACTGATAGATGCCTTATCCAGGAGAAAATATTTCATGAAAGCATCACAACTAAATGACATATAAAGGCGTGTACACAACATTTAACAAAATGCTTCTGGGGACATTTAACTAGTCAATGGCCTAGCAAAACAAAAAAATTTCTAGTCAATTCGAAGTTTCATAATAGAATATTGAATAATCACCATCAATTCATATTAGCAGGGATTTGAGGGTTTCAATAAAGTTGTAACACCCGTTACAGGTATAAATTGAATTTTCAAATGGCAATATTGTTTTGGGTAGTCACTGTATAGTGGAGTCTCACCACAGTGTGGCATTATTTTTTGGGTCTCGAGTTTTCATTGACCACCATGGCGTGGTCATGAGGTGCGATAGCGTGGTAGCCAGTTTTGGTGAAACCCTAATCCTTTAGGCTTGAGCCCTATTTAGAGGACATTATGGATAGGGTTTCGAGGTTATTAAGCCTCCAACACTTTTGAAAGTTCATTCTTTATACCTTGTTGGAATATTTAAAGGAGAAGGATGCCCTTCGAGAGGATTATCATCTTGAAAGCAACATATTCATCTTCTATCTTCTCTTCTGGACTTGGGTGACTATTCATGACTAAATCTTTTCTTTAGTACGTTGTTAGATCTTAGATTTGGGCTGTTTTCCCATGTTTTAGTGGGTTTTGGAAGGTAATATCTCATCAAGCTTGGAACTTTATGAATCTCTAAGCCACCTGGAGCATTTAACTCTTTGGATCTGAAGTAGACATGAGTTTTGAGGCCATTCATGGAATTTTGGCCCTTTTTGCTCTTGTTTTTCCCTAACAATTGAAAGGACATGCATTGGATATGAATCTCCCTAAAGCTATGATTCATATGGTCTAGAAAGTGTTGGAAACCCTTCTGGAAGCTTTGGAGAAGTAACTCAAAGGATTAAGTGCTGAATGAGTAGAATGTGCTTTATGCTTCCATTAAGAACTTAAGGCTTTAGATCTTGACTCATTGGCAAGGTTTAAATGATAAAGTTGGAAACTTTATCAATCTAGATTATCGTTTGAACATAGGTTGAGCTTGGGAACTCCTAGAATGGGCTGGAAAACAACATGAGGAATTCAATCTTGCTGACTGATCCCCAAAATGTGGTGGAGCCTCACCATGGCCTTTCGACCCCTACATATTTCGACCCCTTACAGACTCAACTTATTTCGACTTCTCATCATAAATATTTCGACCCCTACTATCTCCCCCTTAGTGAGAGTAGTCGAAATTATGCCATAAGCTTTAGAGTCCGAAGAAGTACATTGCGAATCTCCATATACCACAAAATAATCTTTCGAATCTCTACCTTATCGTCAATTACATTCTTCTTGTAGTTGTTAATTCGAATAAGGAGATTGGTATACCGAGAATTCGTATACCTCTCTAAATCACTTACTTGAAACAAAAATTTTGTCATCCTCCTATTCATGTTCTTGCCTTGAAAAACTACACTAAGAGGCTAATGTATTATTTCACCATCTTCATACTTATAGATATTAATATTTCCTTTCAGCAAAGATTGAGGGACTTTTAAAGGCTTTTTGACACCTAAGCAAGCTCAATATCCATGATTGCCAAGTAATCATAGTAGTTGTCTATGAAAACCCTGATATGAGCAAAACTAATTATGAAATCATCCTTGTTGGTTTTAGGTAGCTTCTAAAAATCCACATTACTTAAAATCATTGTAACCGTAATCAAGTCATTTATGTTTATCAGTGGGAAATCTATAATTTAGAACTCACATGCAACATCGTTCGCTCTTAAAACCACACATCAAAAATTTTGCAGAAGACCTTCGAACAAGTTGTCACGCGTTATGGTCATCACCTTCACATGTGACCATACTTCTTCTTTGCTTTTCCCCAAGACTATATGGAAACTTTTAAGCTCATGTTTATCATTGTAAATTTTCAACAATCTTGAACTGAGAGGATGTGAACAACATGTAGGTTTGTCAGGAAATCAAGCTGATTGAAATCGGATATCTCAATATCATAATTCTTCTTAGGAACCTTATGAAAGTAATCATTCAATCCAATCGAAACAATATCCTCAATTGTTTCATAACACCACTGCTTGTTGGGATCACCCTTGTTCAACCCAGCTGGGTCATTTTGTCTTTGCCTCATGATACTGTTGATCTGCTTTTTCTTCTTGATTTCAAGACTTTGTTGCTTTTTGTTTTCTTATTTTAGATAGAACTATAGAAAGGACTTTTCCTTTATTATTTGGATCATCGTTTGAAGTTGGTGAAACTGAACTTGAACTCGAATATCCATTTCTTTCATTTATTGAGATCCCTTTTGTAAGTGCTTTCATATTCATCGTTGTCGTTATCAATGATATGGGAAGTGAAGTTGGAACTTGAGTCGAACTTACTTTCCTAACAACAACCCGTTTCTTAGAATTTTTTGAGGAACAAACTCCTCCATATCCGTTCTCTCCCCCTTGTGACACTTGCACCGCACGTGGAGCATTAGTTGGAAATCAAAGAACCAAATTAAGGATTAGAGAAAGCTCTGACTTGATATTAGTCTCAATAGTTGAATCAATTGAGAAATAGAATCTTGAGAAACTAATGACTAGCTCAAAAGAGTAGCATTCGAAATGGACTCCTTGACACTAGATAAGAATTCTTCTAGCTTTTGAAATAGCGGAGAATCCGTTTCTGACTTTGCTTCAAGTTTGCATGAATACTCTGTGTTGAACTCAACAAACTTAGTGATAGTAGTTGCAAGGACATCAAATTTGCTATGTAATAAAGTATACTTTTGCTCCATATTTTGAACTTCATTTGACATCTCTGATTTGAGTTCAACAACTTTGAGATCCACAGATTCCTTCATATTTGATACTTGATGAAAAAAAGTGTCATGACTTTCCTTTGCAATATCATGAAGCTTCTAACTCTCATAGTCAAAGCTCTTGGAATGAAAAACAAACCTTTCAGCTTGTTTCTGTTAAATGCTTTCAAGAAAGCTTTGAAATCAATTTTCTTGAGATTTCAACAAATACTCCATCTCGACCCTAGTAACAAAATTCCTCCCCCCAGTATCTGCTTGTATTTGAAGAAGACAATTTATTTTGGAGTTGAGGATTTTGAATTTTTTACTTGAGATAATTAAATCATCAGGAACATTTTCCTTCTTAGGATCGAATTGAAGATCAACAAAAGATACCATCATCTCATCATCATTAGGTTCTTCTTCATAGATCACCTTCTCAACTTTAGTGGATTGAGAAGAGAAGAGAGTGGTAATTTGTTCATGCATGATGATGAAGTGTATTGGTGAGATGGTTGGAACATGAACTAAAATTGTTATGGGTGATGAAATAGGTAGTAAAGTTGTGGAGGTTTCAACTGTAGTAGTTTTTAGTGTAGATGAGATGATGGTTGAAATGGGAATGGTTGAAGTCTCAAAAGTAGAATTAACAAAGGATTCTTTATTCTGCACCCCTTCACCCATGTTGACATTTGTGTCCTTATCAGATAAGTCTACAGGGATGTCTGGAGATTGAACTACTTCCATATTGGACTTAGTTGTTGAAACCCAGGTTGGTATGACATTAGTCTTCTCAAGGATAGATATAGATGGCTGATCATTTGAATTGATGTTTATATTCGTATGAGATACATATACAGTGATATCAGGATCTCTTATCACCTCGAATCCATTCGAGGTGTTCCAAGCACAGAATCTTCTATGCAAATATCAGATCATCCATTATCACTATCATTATCAGTTTCAACTGTTATTTGGTCAAGTGTATCCTGGTGCTTTCATTTCTACTGTTTCAAGTTCTGAGGAATATCCAGGGCTTGTCTCTTCTTCGATGCAGGTGAAACAGGAACATATACTTTTCTGAACAAAACCCCTTTCTTGTTGAACTAAGGCTTTCGAATCTTTTAATACCCTTATGAGAAGAATGAGTATGTAAAGAATCAATTTTTGTTTGCTCAGTAGCTTCAATTTCTGGGTCTTGTATAGATTGCTTTACTAGGGAATCATTGGGTTTCTTTGCTGGTTTCTTTATACACTTAAGAATTCTATATTTTGAAGGAACAATTTAATTCGTAACACCCTCCTCCATTATTGGTGGTTTCTCAACTTGCTTTTTCTTCTTTGGAGCTTTAGAAGCTAAAACCTTCAACCCCTTTCAATAGAAGAACAACAATAGATATACATGAGTCAATAGAATCCAAATATTGCACAAGAAGTGGATTTTGAGGATCAACCAGCTTGAGCATCGCATCTAGAAGATGAGCAACAGTAGGAAATACAGATGGATCATCAATAACAATCCTTAGAGTAGCAATAGTCAAAAACTCAATAGGTTTGACATCAAAAGGAGCTAAAATACCTTCATGTTGATAAAGCTCCTTCAAAATTAGACTCCAAAAATGAGCACACAAAACACCATAAGAAAGATTGGTGTGAGTAATTGACGTTCGAAACTCCTCCCAGAGATGTGGGGAATAATCCACACCCAGACCATAATACAACCCGACAATAACTGAATAAATACCCTGTTTGGTTTTGTCTAATCCTAAGCTTCACCCTGTTAAGAATCTTAACACGATTCCAAAGAGAAAACTCCATGTTCAAGGAAGACTCGACTTCTTAAAATGACTTATCCCATTAAGAACTAGTTGATTCCCCATTTCATTAGACATATGAAGTACTTGATCAGTAGAAACTTCATAGAAAGTACCTGATACAGGTAACTTTAGGATTTTGGAAAAATGCTTCCTCGTAAGCTTCCTTGTCTTTGAATTTGTCAATTGAGACATGATGACCTTTGTTGATTTTTTGAAAACAATAGTGGAACCAACAAGAGAAATCTATTTTATTGGAACTTTGAATGAAGAAAACAATGCAGTGCATAGAACATAGTTATTTAGGGTTTGAGTAAGCATCTATAGTTGCTCTGGATACTGATCAATCGTTGGAACCAAACGAAGGTTGGTATTCTAAATCTTCATCATGGGTTGTGAAACTTCTTCTTCATTAGTTGTAGTTGGATCAATAGTTGGGTGAGGATCAAACATTGCAGAGAATGCATAATTATTTGAAGATGATGAACAATTTGCGATTTTGGGAAAATTTGATATGGGAGCATAAAGTCTGAGAATGAAATAAAAAATTTCCTTTTATAATTGATGATATTTTTGAATTTGAACTGGTATCCTATAATATTCTACAACATATCATATTAGTTACTTAATCGGCACCGTAAAAAGCTCCACGTCACAAAAGTGATGATGATGTTTTCCTTGAATCCCGTGAAAGTCCTGTACTGTCATATCCATCGGATATTTCATTGTTCCCAATAGTATAAGAATCGTCACCTTCTTTGAACTGGAACCAAGTACATGTAGTTGGTTCGACACCAAGATAACTCCATTCCTTCGGCATAGAGGTAAGGCTCATTCACTTTTGGGATTTTAAAGTGAAACCAAATGCTAGTCTTTCTAAAATCTAAGTTTTGAGTTGGTAGTACCCAAAACCTAAAGGATTTCAGTGCATTTTGTGCCAAAGAATGAGAGAGAATGAAATTTAAAAAAATGTGGATATTGTGATATTAAAGTATTTTTGATACGAAAGTAGAATGATCCCATGCAAAGATCTCTTCATTCGTCATCAAGAGAGATGATGAATTGATTGTATGGTTTCCCATGAATTACAATTGAATACTAATGGATGAGCATCAAATGACTTATTTTTCATTGGTTTTGAAAGGTAGGTTTAATTTTGTCCAACACCATAACTTAACATAAGTGTGATTCAGTTGCACAAAATTACTTAGATGAAAATTACATTCCAAAAAAAATTAAGTTTTGGATCTTGCTGGGCAAAAATGTCTTGGTGATAGACCATTTTATCAAGATCATGCAATTCAAATGATATGTAATTTTGAATATCGAAAAGGTACTAAAACAAGTGTTTTGTTAAAATATTGAACAAAAATGTTCACCGTCAATTCCTTGATAGATAGGTTTTATGGGTTTCACCATCATCATAGAAGAATGAAGCAGGATCATAAACACAGAGTGGTGTCATATATGGATTCTGGTTGGTTTCGACCAGAGATGTTGAGGATATGTAGTGGAGTGTGTGATCATGAAAGAAACTTTTGATCAAAAAGATTGGGTATAAGAACTCATTGAACCTCTACAAAATATATGGACATTGCGGTAATCTCTTTACTCAATATGACAAGAGAAAGGTATCTATTCAACTAATGTGAGTATAGCCTAATTGGGAAGAAACTGTTGTAGTGAGAGTTCCATTAAGGCTTCAAACACACAGAGTCTGTGAAGCTTGAGGGAAACATGCAGCAGCATGCTTCTAGGGACACTTAAATAGTACAACAGTTCGAATGAATACGTGTCCCCTTGATGGATAAGTTCGTTGAGCATGCATCACAACAAGTTGTTACAATGAGACATGAACCGTTAGTCAAACATATCAAGTACAAAAAACAAGAAAATCTTTTTGTAATTTTGTTTTTAGAATTCAAAAACAAAAATAAGAAAATCTTTTTGGATTTTTTTAGAAATCAAACATAAAAATAAGAATTTTTTTTGGATTTTGGATTTTTGAAAAATAACAAAAAAAAAAGCAATAAATTTTACCGAGATACAATTGACCTACCGGATAGTAATCCTCAATCATGTGTTACACATCAAACATATTTTACCCATAGCGAATTGAGTTCAGAATGGTTCAGAGGGAATTCGAATGTGAATGTAGTTGAACACTGAACCGAAACAGTAACCTATGAATGGTTCAGAAAAACACCAACGAATCAACAACAATTCAATCAAGAAGAATATGGAACAAAAATTTCTTCTATCATTGACATTCCATTTAAAATCCTTATGAATGACTTTTCATCTAAATGTTTTTTGAAAATATCTGCAAGTTGATATGTGGTTTTGACAAAATGGACTTCAATGTTCCCACTTCTACATGGTCCTTTATAAAATGATATCAAAGAGCAATGTATTTGGTTCTTGAATGTTGCACTAGATTATGGAAAATGATAATAACACTTTGTGAATCACAATATAAAGGTATTTTCTTCATATTGATTGCATAGTCTCACAATTGTCTTTGAATCTAAATTACTTGTGATGTGCAGGAACCAACTGCTACATACTCTGCTTCTGCAGTTGAAATCAAAACACAAGTTTGCCTTTTCGATTTCCAACTCACAAGCTTCCCATTCAATAATTGACACCATCCTATTGTGCTCTTTTGATCAAGTTGACATCCACCTAGATGCACATAAGAAAATGTTTGTATAAAGAATCCTGTCGTTGATGGATACCATAATCCTAACGAAACTATTCCTTTGAGGTATCAAAAGATATTCTTAACCGCATTGATATGAGGTTATCTTGGGTTCAATTAATACTTGGCACAATTACATGCAACAAATATAATAGCAGGTTGAATTGCAGTTAAATACAAAAGCAAACCAATCATGCATGTCTTTAAGTCTATAGTAGGATTATTCGATGAAGGAGTTAACCATTTGCCCATAACCATATATACTTTAACCTTTGTGTTATTCTTCATTCCAAACCTTTCAAGCAGATTACACGTATATTTTTCTTGATTAATAAAAGTTCCTTACCTGCTTTGAAGAATATTGAAAACCAAAAAGTTATTAATTTTCCCCATCATACTCATTTCTAATTAACTTTTCATGAGTTCCTTAAATTCCTCAGATAACAAAAGATTAGTTGAACCAAAAGTAATGTCATCGACATAAACTTGAATTAGCATCAAGTGATCCCCTACTTTCTTTCGAAATAAAGTAGGATCAACTCATCCTTGTTTAAATTTAGTGATAGTGTTTCCTCCATAACTCAATTTAGGAATGCACATTTGACATCCATTTGAGATGCATCGAAATCATTATGAGCTGTATAAGCAGGAAAAATTCATACCACCTCGAGTCTTGCAACACAGGCAAGGGTTGCCTCATAATCAACACCTTCTTGTTTAGAATAACCTTTTATGACTAGTCTTGCTTTATTTCGAGCAACATTGCCTTCTTTATCAGTTTTGTTTTTAAAAATTCATTTTAGTCGAATTAATGAAACATCATTTGGTTTAGGAACTAACCTCCAAACATTATTTCATTCGAATTCAGCAAGTTCAGATTGCATTGAAACAACCCAATCAGAGTGTTCTAATGCAACATTTATTCTTTTGGTTCTAGTTTCGAAATGAACACATTAAACATACAATATTCTTGATAAACATTCAACACTTCATTTCTGGCTCATATATGAGCTTGAGTTAAGGCACCAGAATTTGGATGACCAAGAACCTGTTCCTTTGGATGATTTCTTGTCTACCTATCCATTAGTGGATTTATAGGATCAAATTTCAAAGGCACATCCTCAAAAATATCACCCACTTCTAAGCCTTCTCCTATAATCGATATATTTTCAGTTACATCATAAAAATCATTAGTTTGATCGTTGTTATCATCATGATTCGATCCAATTGGTTCCCCCTCGACCAATGGATTTAAGATGTGATGCTATCCCTCAACACCAACATGGTTCAACACATGCTCCCCCTCGACTTGAGCTGTAGTTGGCATATGCTCCACCTCAAGAGTCAAATCATGATTGTTATTTTGTAATGTTGAAATCAAGTGCTTCTCCTCCACTTGATCATCAATCAAAAGTGATATTGTTTCAACATTCACCCTTGAAGTTAAGGAAGACTGTGTATCATTTTCTCCACTTGTTACAGTTGAATCATTAGAGTGTTTTGATGCTTTAGGAACATGATTATCATTCAAAAGATTTTTAGCATCAATGGCCCTATCAGGAATTCAAAAAATCAAAATCATGATTAATATCATAAGAATTCATGATTTCAGATTTAACATTTGTTTTAGCGATTACAGGCTTTTAAACGAAAGACTGTTTGACTCTTTGGACATAGTAGTCATCGAAAGTATCTCCTATCTTTCTCATTCGTTTGTTCAACACCTTATATGCTATAGATTTGTGTGTATATCCCAAGAAGATTCCATCATTGACTTTCGACTGTGTGACAACCGTCAAATTCTGGTCAATTCAAAGTCAAATAAAGTCAACAAGTCAAACTGGTCAACTCAACTAACCCTTGTGTACTAGGGCTTACGTTACGTATTTACTAAACAACTCGCTATTCTGATGAGAAATCATAAATCGAAAAGTGCGAACATCTAGATCTCCTTAACCTAAAACTGTGGTACGTGGCGAGCCAAACCGATAAAACAATGTTGCATACTCATCGGGAGTGTGTAAGATCCTTAAACAAGGCTTAACAGGGTTTACAAACCTTGCATTGCGAAGCCGGACACTCACAAATGCCACACTCGAAACCCCTCTCAATCATTTTCACTCTATCTCTCTCTATTTGAAATCTCTCTAAGTATGTGAAACTTCTCCCAAAACTCTCTTTGTATGAGAAATCTCTCTAAGTATGTGAAATCTCTCCCAAATCTCTCCAAGTATGTGAAATCTCTCTCAAATATCTCTCTGTATGAGAAATCTCTCCAAGAATGTCAAATCTCTCCCAAATCTCTCCAAGTATGTGAAACCTCTCTCAAATATCTCTTTGTATGAGAAATCTCTCCAAGAATGTCAAATCTCTCCCAAATCTCTCCAAGTATGTGAAATCTCTCCCAAATCTCTCTCAAAAGCTTCCCGTAACTTTTTAGAATCATTCGGGTCATTCCGACCCTTAACCGGGTCAAAAACGGCTTAAAACGGGG